GCACGCTAGCGGCCATCCGACACAACACAGTGTCAGGGTGGGGTCGTCTGTCACTGCACGGTTCCACGGCAAGATTGCTCCAGCGCCTGGCACTACCACGGGTCCCGCTGCAGGAGTGTCGCCTGCATACCAAACTCAACATCACCCGAAACATGCTCTGTGCCGGCCTACAAAGGGGTGGGCAGGATGCATGCAAGGGTGACAGTGGTGGCCCTCTCGTGACTCGCTACAAGAAAACTTGGTTTTTGACCGGTGTGGTGAGCTGGGGGAACGGCTGCGCTGACAACAACATGTACGGCATTTACACCAAAGTCAGCAACTTCCTCGACTGGATCCAACATCAAATGACCAGATGGTAAAGCAAGAAGACTGGAATTTGCCAACTGACAACTTGATAATTGGTTTCCACTGGTAACTTTTGTTTCAATAAACCAAACAAAACAAATAAACAAACAAACATCTTTTCTCTGCTGGTAGTCAACTTTTTTGCACTATTTTTGTCGAGCTAAAAAAAAAAAATCTTAAAAAGAAGGGCTTAAAAAAAAAAATGCTAAAAAGTAGTGCTAGTGCTAGTGCTAGTGGTGGGAGATCAGTGCCAGGAAAGCATTGGCCTAAACACGATCAGGCACACTGACCTACATTTAACAACCGGGCTGAAATCAAATATTTGTCCAGTGAAATTGTATTTTGTATTACATTTTCTTCATATTGCAGCATTTCTCTTAGTTGCACTGCCTTCTGGACATGAATGCAAGTTAGATTTATTTACAAACCCAATTCCAATGATATTGGGATGTTGTGTTAAACATAAATAAAAACAGAATAAAAGGATTCGCAAAGCATTTCAATTCATTTTATATTCAATTAAATCCACTCCAAAGACAATCTATTTAATGTTCAAACTGACAAATGTTGTTTTTAGCAAATAATCATTAATTTAGAATTTTGTGGCTTTAACACGTTCCCAAAAAGTTGGGACAGGGTCATGTTTACCACTGTGTTACATCACTTGTTTTTATTTATTTATTTTTTTTAACCAACAAACATTTGGGAACTAAGGACACAAACTATTGAAGCTTTATAGTTGGAATTCTTTCCCATTTTTGCTTGATGTACAACTTCAGCTGTTCAACGGTCTCCACTGTCGTATTTCACGCTTCATCACACGGGCCGCATTTTCAATGGGAGACAGATCTGGACTGCAGGCAGGCCAGTCTCGTACGTGCACTCTTTTAGTACGACGCCACATTGCTCTAACGCACAGAATGTGGTTCGGCATTGTCTTGCTGAAGTAAGCAGTGGTGTCCGTGAAAACGACGGTTGGATAGCAGCCTATGTTTGTCCACAACCTGTCACCATTAATGGTGCCTTCACAGATGTGTAAGTTACCCATGTCATTGGCACTAATACAGCCCCACACCCTCACAGATGCTGGCTTTTCAATTTTGCTTACATAACAGTCCGGACGGTTATTTTCCTCTTTGGCCGAGAGCCCCCTGTGTTTTAAAACACGTCTTAAAACTCACTTTTACTCTTTGGCTTTTGACTCAGCATGAGACATGATTTTTGGTTTGACTGTTTTTGTGTTTTCTAATCTTTTCATTCTTCATTTATTGTTTGTTGTTGTATGAATTATTTTTGCTCCATGTCCAGCACTTTGCACACAGTGGTGGTTGTCTTTAAGTGCTCTATAGAGTTGCGTTGAGTTGAGAGGTCTGATTGAGAAACATTGTGACTTCCAGTGTTGACACAGCAACAAAAAGCCTTGTGTTTTCCCCAAATTTCCTTTTGAAACCTATGTTTTTACCGACCAAGTCACTGTTGTCATTCAATGATTGGTGAAATTGACAGCTGTCCGAAATGAACCCTCCATTTTTAATAGATTGATAGACTGTGGCAAAGAGGTGTAAAACGCTCACCAGCAGAGGGCATGCAGAAAGTTTTCTAAGCCACATAAAGGAGGCGGAGACTTCTCATCAGGCTCATCAGCATTTGACCAGTGCTGGGGTTAAAGGACTTTAGCCTCATACAGATTAACCAGCGTTCCCATGGCGTCAACAGCGCGCTCGTGTATCTTTGTAAGCGTGCTCATCGTCTTTAGCTCGACATCATTGGCATCAGGTCAGAGAAGGAAAACAAAAGGAACCATGAGTATAATCATGTCATGTGATGTCGATGCAGCCCCGAAGAGGTAGCCACTTCCACTTTTCAAACCTGTAGTTTGCTTGCTTCTCAGTCTTCCGAGATCCAGATGAGGCGCACAGTGTCTTGGTGCGCACCAAGAGATTCAACTCGGGCTGGCTGGAGGAGCTGCAGAAGGGTGATCTGAAGAGAGAGTGTCTGGAGGAGAAGTGCTCATATGAGGAAGCCCGTGAGGTGTTTGAGCACCAAGAGGCCACGGTTGGCATGTGCCGCTCATTTTGCACCAACTTCAAATTCATCTCCAACTTGGTGTTGATTCAGTTATCAATCGCTTTGTGTTTCCTCAGGACGAATTCTGGAAGACATACAGCAGTAAGCAGAATAAATACTTATCGAGCAACTTGAAATTGTTGAAACAAGATTCTTTTTGAACAATTTGTTGTGACGACAACAGTTTTAGAGGTAGAAAATGCATGAAAATGATGACAAAATCATTTGTTTGTTTGGTCAGAATGAAAAACCGAGATAATATGCATGCTTGTTAAGTGTCCAATTACTCATAAATCACAACCAAAACAATGGTGAAACACAGTGCTGTTTTTAGCATGAGTGTGAATAATTGTACAAAGGTTTACATTTACTATGCTGCTATTATGTCCATAGGAGTTGAATTACTTATACAAACATTCCCATTGGATGGCGTCGTTCCTCCTAATGTGTGTGTTACACCCTTAACAGCCTTTGAAGCAAATCGGCATGTTGCACGGTATTTTCTCGTTTTGACTTATTATGCACAAGTGACTTCATCAAGTGGCATCCCGCAGTTCCAGACAGCTGTGAGTCAAGTCCCTGCTTGAACGGGGGGAGCTGTTTGGTCCTGCCGGCGTCTTACAACTGCTTGTGTCCACCGCCCTTCAGTGGCCTCAACTGCGAGCTTGGTAAGGTTACCTCACATGTGTCTTTTACAAAGATAACTTCAATCCTGTTGTGTTCTGTAGACGACCACGTCCGGCCAGAGACATGTTTGCTAGAAAATGGAGGCTGTGAGCACTTCTGTGATCAAGACGAGAGAGGAGAACGAGTCAACTGCTCATGTGCGGATGGATACTTTCTGAATGCTGATGGCCAGAGCTGCATGCCCAAAGGTGACCTTAGAATTATTTGTAGGGGTTAAGTTTGTTGTTATGATGTTTAAAAAAACATATCCAGATATGATCACACACGTAGGACATTTCATGATGTTTTTAAACAATATGTGGTGGATACTTCCAGGAGGCAGACCACAATGAAACCATGACCAAAAAAAACAAAAAAAAGATTTTTTGTGGTTACGCCGCCAGTTATACGGCAAAATGCTTTATTATTTTTTTCATTTCCTTAGTTATTACGAAGGAAAAAAAAATCTAAATTAATTCACCGTGCTTAGTTGGACTATTAAAAAAAGAAAATTGCCAGGTGACATAGTAACAACTTCTGAAGGGACGGACTCGAAACCAAATCACCTCAATTGTGGGGTTTGTTGAAGGCATTTGCTCCCCGGTATGTATAAAATGTTTTGGGGTGACTTTGAGAAGCTACCATTCAGTAGCTTCATAGGTTCTAGTTCAACAGCCAAAGAACCAAAAACCAAACGAACCACTCAAGTATAGGCTAGAGCCGTTTACAAATGATGCTAGTATTTGAACATATAACTGTGATGATGTTTGTATTACTTACTTTTACTTTTATTTTACTTTCATAATTTTTGTTTGCATTTTGTCATGTTATTGTATGTTTTATATATGTTCAATAAACAATAAACAAACAAACAAACAAGTATGCTAGCAAGGTTACCAAGGTTAAGGGTTATTGCCATCTATTGCCATCTTCTGAATTATCTCCAGAAATCCAGTGGTCGTGTTCACCATGTCTGGCTTTCCACCACAACTATTTTTGAATCAAGTGACCGGCTGAAATGTAAATTACAGCTGGTGTGTGGTCTCCCTTTCAGGCAACTTGCTTCGGTTCACATCTTTTGAACAGACATTTTACCCTCTCTCTTTGTTTTGGTCAAATGACATGGAAGAGCTTGTTTGCTAGTGGTGCCAACGTTAAAGTACATATTTCCCTTGCCTCAGACTCAATAACGTGTGGCATGACCCCAGTTCTTCAAGATCCAAACAAAGCCAAGAAGCTTGACCCTCGTGCTCGGATTGTGGGTGGACAAGAGTGTCCCAAAGGCGAATGTCCCTGGCAGGTACTGTATGATGCTTTGAAAAAAAACGTCTCAGTCTCAGAGTCCGCTGCACAGAAGCATTTGCTTCTTGTAGGTACGGTGCACTTAAATGTGTTTTTTGTTGCTTCGTGTAGGTGTTGCTGCTTTATCATGGCAAAGGTTTCTGTGGCGGAATAATCATTAAACCCATGTGGATCCTCACGGCATCTCACTGCCTTGAAGATACTGACGCCCAGTTTTTAAATGTTGTTGCAGGTATAAGTCACTGAACATGTTATTGTCTCTGGCTACGAATCTGTTGCATCATCGTCATTAATGCACCCCGGTTCACGTTCATCCATGTTGTGGCTGCCCCACGTTTTTGTCCCAAGATCTCAACTGTGGTTGACTTTTCCTCTCTCTATGAACATGTGTCATCATTCGCAGAAGTTGACCAAAGTAATGAGGCTAATTTGACAAAGTAAAAGCCGAAAGTTCCAGATATCCCTTTTCAAATGGAGAGACTTAAGTGAAATAAATGAAAGTGCACACCACTGTACTCAAGTACAGATACCTGTTAAACCTAATTAAGTAAAGTGACAAAGAATTTGTTCTCGGTCCCTGACCTCACCACAGTGTCCCAAGTGATGGCTCTCTATCTGCTTTCAATTTGGCAGGCGAGCATAACACCATGGTGGAGGAGGGAACAGAGCAGGTCATCCAGGTGGCTCAAATCCTCATGCACGAGCGCTATGAAAAGAAAACGGCTGACAACGACATCGCCCTGCTGCGATTGGCCTCGCCCGTGGTTTACACGCCATACGCCGTACCGGCCTGCCTGCCCACAAAGTCTTTGGCTGAGCGCGATCTGTGGGCCATCAGCATCCACACAGTGAGCGGCTGGGGGCGACGAGCCGAAAACGGCCCCACCTCACATCTGCTGCGCCGCCTCAGGGTGCCTCGCATACGTACACAACAGTGCATCCAGGAGAGTGGCGTGCAGCTCACTGAAAACATGTTTTGTGCCGGATACCTTACGGGACGGGAGGACTCGTGTAAAGGTGACAGCGGCGGGCCCTTGGTGACGCAGTACAAGAAGACCACATTCCTGCTTGGCATCGTGAGCTGGGGGAAGGGCTGTGCCCGGCCAGGCCACTACGGCATCTACACACGCGTCTCCAACTACCTGCAGTGGATACACAACCACACAGCAACACCAGTACAGCTCACAAACGACACGCAACTTCTACCGCACAACCTAACCACCTGAGCGCTCGCTTACCAATCATCATCCACCCGCTTTAGCTCTCAACTTTATGATTTGGTACATTTATCATACACAAAAACAATTTGCCTGTTTCATGAGTTTTGTTCACTTTTGGACCTTTTCTTCTCACCTATTTGCACATTTTTTTTTTTGCTTCTCCTGAAATGCTCTAAAATACCACAAGGTGGCAGTTTTTGGTACAGTACTGTATATGCAGTACGTGTTGCTGCAGCGCACCCCACCTCAAAAATATGTAAATGGGTTATCGAATGGCATAATGAAAAAAAAAAATCATTTGCACTTGTATGGGGAATTTGCGTCCCCCTTTGATCGACAAGAAGTGTTTGTAATGATTTTGCTAATAAATGTTGAAGCGAGAGGTTGTCTATGACAAGGAAATTGGACATCTTTGTATTTGAGAGAGTAACTAAAAGTTGATAGAAAGTGATTGGGAGTGTCCTCGCTATATGCATGTTCTGGCTCCATTGAGCCATAGAAGGTCAAATTGGTGGCATCATCTCACACCTGTTGATATTTAAAGAAAGGTTCAAGAGATTCTACTCACAGCCTAGTCTCAGACTAGCAATTTTAAAAAGCGTGAATTTGGTAAGGTCACAATACTGGTTATGTCACGCATCGCCACAAAGAATGAAAGACTTGTGATGATGTCAAACATGTTTTATATTGTCATATGGGTCAAATTGGTGGCATCATCTCACACCTGTTGATATTTAAAGAAAGGTTCAAGAGATTCTACTCACAGCCTAGTCTCAGACTAGCAATTTTAAAAAGCGTGAATTTGGTCAGGTCACAATACTGGTTATGTCACACATCGCCACAAAGAATGAAAGACTTGTGATGAGGTCAAACATGTTTTATATTGTCATATACAGTGATCCCTCGCTATTTCGCGGTTCGTTTATCGCAGCTTCAGTGCATCGCGGATTTTTTCAAACATTCATAAAAAAATTATTATTAATATATTTTTTTTTAAGTCTGCAAAAAGTCCGCGAGAAGCAGCGAAAGTCAGCAAAACAACAGCGAGTCACATAGAGCAACATATACAGTACTACATGTATATGTTTACTGTATTTTGTTCTTCATAAACTAACCTAACTCATACATGTTTAAATCTATTAGTATACAGCATTAAGTCATGTTAATTACTTCAAATTTTACTTCTACATGCATGTATACTGTAGATCTGTTTATTATTGTTTTGTTGTACAGCCATTTTAACCTGCTGTCATACCTCCCGTCCAGAAGGTGTCGTAAGAGTTCTATTGTTGATTGCTACACGAGTAAGCCTGCAACACGTTCTTGGTGCTGCTGGAGTAAAACTATTTTCAAGCACATAAACGGACTGGTTTCTTCATATCAAAACTACATATACCATTAAATTTGGCCTTATAAATATTCTGTACATGTACCTATATGGAGGGGTGTGGGGTCGCTACTTCGCGGATTTTCGTTTATCGCGGGTGGTTTTGGTCCCCATTAACCACGATAAACGAGGGATTACTGTAATCAATATTTGGAAGAGACGGATCTAAAACAGCTGAGATTAACACCACACTAAACGATGGAGATGACAGGAGAGCAATGTTCCCTTCTAAGCTGCGCAACTGCGCACAAGGAAACCTATGGAGCGCAGTGAACGCACTGCAATTGAATTAGCTGTATAACTTTTTTCTGTATCATTTTGCTGTGTAATTCAGTGAGTGACAGTTGTCCAGTCAATCATACGATACGATGCAATGACGCTATGCAGCCAATCACGGCACTGACGGTACTTGCGCATGTGTTCTGCTCATACACGCTCCATAACAATAACAATGCGGCGGAGATAAGTGACGCTAACGCGAACCCTTTATCACCACGAAACGAGCGGGCAGTGAGTGTGATACGTCGACTCCCCAAACCAAAACAAAAATGAACTCCGGTTCTTTTAAGGTGGAATGGCTAGTGTCGGAGTATGTGCAAATAGAAGAACAAGCGGTGAAACTGGGTCAGATCTTTTCTTTTTCGAGTGAGAAAGGTCTGCTCTGCAAAATATGCAACGAATATATGGAAGCACATTTTCCGACACATTCAGCAGAAAAGTCATTTGAATGCTGTTGCAATTATATCAAGTCTCAAGATGGGAAAAGGGATTGGTACATTATTGCGGGGAGAAAAAGAATCGGCTGTCCCACAGAAAAATATCGGACCCTGAGCAAGTTAAAAGTTCTCATTGACAATATTTTACTTGCCCTCAAAATGAATGCATTAATTGCTGTTGTAATTCGTTTTTCGTATTTTAAGAATCCAAGAAACTTTCTATGATCCCAGGTGTGACACTGGTGTGTGGCCACAGCGAGCACTTGTGATGTTGCTCACAGTAGTCCTCGATGTGCTCAGGGAGGTTATCTGTTTGGCCAGACATGAAAAATTAGACGGAACGTTGCAGGAGAGCGCCATGACTCCAGTGAAACTCTAAAACTTCTCTCTGACTTTCACTTTTTAGACTGAGATTGTGCACATCGTTAGGTGGAAGCCCATCTTAAGTAGAAACTCTTTCACTGAGCAATAGCAGCAGGTGGAAAGTTACAATAAATGTGCAAAAAGGGCTTGTGAGTGGAAGCGAGGGAGAGTTTTGCCACATGTGCAAGATATGGTGCATTTTTTTTTCCAAAATAAAATCATTCGTAAGACATTTATTTTTAAGCGTAAGATAAAACGGGTTGAAGTTTGTTTACAATTTAAGAGGTGTATTAACATAGGCAACTAGAACAACTTTTAGGGGGAGAAACTTCCATTTTGTCTCTGTTCGCGGCAGAGCTCGGTCCCTATCCCCTGTAAATGGCGGGCGGATTACTGTATCCTGCCGATCAAAGTCTCAAGGTGAGCTAGAGCCGATCCCCGCTGACTCTGGGCGAGAGGCCAGAACACCTTGCACTGGACCTGGACCGGTCACCAGTTCCTGGCAGGAGTTTATTCTGTCAAAGGACAACCATTGATTCTGACATCCACACGATTTAGAGCTACAATGAATGTAACATGCTGTTCGAGGAATCTATGGGCGAAATTGTATCATGTTTAAAGTTTCATTTGATCTGTGCACGTTGAAGCGTCTGGGTGCGTAATTCGCACCCCCAAATTCCTGTTCAGAAGGTGCCGGCCATTTGGGCGGAGGGCTGTTGCAGCCCACACCACAATCAACGCATCAAGGCGGGTGGGTGATCAGAGGAGGGTGGGCGATCAGAGGAGAGAGGGCCAGATCCGGTCACAAAGGGGGAACGAGTAATTTGGGAACAGCGGTTGAACAACAAAAGACGATTTGAGGACACCCGTCGCGCCCAGGCGACATTTGTCGTCCGCAAAGTCTGCGATATGTTGATACAGTGTAGACCAGACCGAAAGGCGCCAAAGTGCCGGTGGTTCAAAGCTCACACCCAGGTAACCAATCACTACCGAGGAGCCGGACCAGGGGTGCGGTATGCAAATATCGGGGGCAGTGTTTATCTTGTATTTTGCATATGTCACAATAAAGGTTCGAACTCGAGGAGGGGGGGCTCTGAGCGTGATCACGGAGCAACTAAACCGTCGTTCGCTCTCAGAGATCCGCTTCCGTCGATATTGAAGACAATTTTCCTGTGTGCCGAGTCGTTTCTCTAACTTTGTCCGAGAAAATCTCTGACACATGCGTACTTCTGAAATGTGGGAAGTGATGAGAATGCACAAAGAAAAACATATGCAAGCACGGGATGATCTTCAAATGGCAAACTCCGTGCCAAAAGTTTGGCCAAAATTCGAAGCTAGACCTTTTGACTGTGAGACCCATTTCACTTTTCTGTGGTATGACAAAATAGCACAAACAGACCTCCAAGATATGACGCCCACACATTCTGCAAATGTATTTGTGGCGCGATACTTTTGACTCCCAGTTTCAGGTGAGCCATATTCCAAAGTGAATTGACCTCTGGTTTGTTTACAGACTTGATGGAAAAAGGGGAATGTGTTTGTTCTGTCAAGTCCGAGGGTCGTAAGGATCGTCGGAAGTCTGGTTTAAAGGTTCTGCCTCTGTGACATGCGGACCTGGAACTTGATTTTGGGGAGTAAACCGCTGGACATCATGTTGGCGAGAAGCTGCATTGTGTTGATTCTGCTGATTGACATTGCCGCAGCTGCAGGTTTGTCTCTTCAATGCAAAAAGTGGTCATCTTTCCTCAGATAAAACGCCCTCATTTCCTACTTGTTCCTGCCCAGCTAACATATTAACAATGATAGACGTGGAGCTTTTTAAAGCCTCAGCACAAGCCCAAACATGCTGAATGAGGTTTATGATCATTCACTTGACTGTACGTGTACGCGTTTGGTAACAGTGTTTGTGGAGAAGCAGGAGGCGGATGCGGTGCTGAGCCGGTGGCGGCGAGCAAACTCGGGATTCTTGGAAGAGCTCAAGCAGGGCAATCTGGAAAGGGAATGCCGCGAGGAGATCTGCGACCACGAGGAGGCCAGAGAAGTGTTTGAGGACGACACCCTGACGGTCAGCCGGATGCCTTTTGACTTTCGATTATTTGTATTGGCGTTTCCCCATTCTTGATTGAGAAGAGGCACATGCTATAATTACTTGAAAGCCTCACATTTTTCAAGTGACGAGCCTTTGCTTTGTGTTGTGATTACAAGGTTACTGTATTTTCCGCACTATAAGGCGCACCTAAAAGAATTCAATTTTCTCAGAAACCCTCGGTGCGCCTTATAATCCGATGCGCCTTATATATGGATCAATATTCTGATTTCTGGGATGTAGTATTTCAAATGTTCTGCAAAGCGCTTTGTTGCAGCGGCAGCGGTTGTGAAGGCTCCATATTAATAAAGCTATAGTGGATTGTATTGTATTCCCCTTTAGTGTATCTCCATCTAGTGGTTGCATGACACAACCCCAGCCACTAGTGTATCTTCGAATTATGCACCGTATAATGCACTGAGCCCCATATATGAAAACAGCTTGAAAATAAGCCATTCATTGAAGGTGCGCCTTATGCTCCTAAGCACCTTATAGTGCGGAAAATACAGCAATTGTAATTACAAGTGAGCATCAGAGTTAGTGCTGCCTGAGCAAAGTGTGTGTGTGTGTGTGGGGGGGGGGTGAGAGTGACAATCTCAGATGCACTTTCGGCATTCTGAAAAGGAAAAACAGTCAAACACGCACATACAAAATGAAACCACTCCTAAGGAGCGACAGTCAGTCAAAACTGACGTCTACAAACTCCAACAAAGACTAACCAGACATGATCCTGGTGCTGCTCACTTGGCCACATATTGATTTGATGTGTGAGGAAGGGAAGACGCACTTTTTAGGTTCTGGCATAGCTAGAAAGCAAACTGCACGTTGCAATTCATTTATACTGTATAACCATGCAGCCATGCGAACCGAGTTCTGTTTATTGTGTCGGAGGGGCGATTCATGCAGGGTGCTCAAGTACGTTACTGGCCGCCATTTTTGGCAGGTGAAAATTGGGAAAACTGAAACGGTGAAAAGAGTTTAACATGATCGCTTCACAACTGCGTAATCCATTGTTGTCAGTCTTTGTTTCCAGAAATGATCTTCAAACGGAATCGAAAACGTATTTCGAAAACAATCTGAATTCACGTCACAATATGAAATTGGATCATTTCCCATGGCACAGTAATGCGGCTGAGAATCACTGTTCTGATGTCTACCAAGCTATAATTGCTGCGTTGTTGCTGTTCTTTGCTTCCACAGAAGCAATTCTGGGACACGTATGAACGTAAGCCCGTCGTAAAATCCAGTGACCAATTTCTGTTCCTCTTCTTCTGCCTAATCATTTGCTGTTGTCCTGAATCACCGTGCTGTCAGGTCGGGACCCCTGCCGCATCAACCCGTGTCTTAACCACGGTGTGTGTGTCACCGTCGGGAGCGGCTTCCAGTGTCAATGCGCCGAAGGCTTTGAAGGACGCTTTTGTCAGATGGGTACTGCAGGAAATAAGAGCCGGTTGAGTGCATACTCTATATGTGGTGATCTCATTGTGCCGCCCCCTTTCCCGTCTTTCAGTGTTTGAAGACTCGCTCAAGTGTAATTTCCACAATGGCCAGTGTGAGCACTTCTGTGATGGCTCAGGGAAACATCGCAAATGCTCCTGCGCTGATGGCTACATCCTGGGCGAAGACGGGCGACAGTGCATTGCTCAGGGTGGGCATTTTTTGGGGGGGAGGGGGGGGCTGAAGTAGCACTTGCAGTTATGGCGTCCTCAAGATTCTATTCTTTACACATGCTTCTGTTCAGCTCGGAGTCCTCTGACAGGGGAGATATTTTTCCATGGTTCATACCGGCAATTAATGTCACTAAATACGATGTGAATGATGTCAACCAAGCTATTAATGACCTGCGGAACAGATGAGTTTGAAGTGAATTCAATTCAATATTTATCCACCTTTGAGAGCCGATGTACAGTGCTTACACCGACAAGATGGTCACAAACAGAGAGGAGATTGTTGAATAAAAATAGCTGTTGCCAACGCAGCCATTTGCCGGCTGCACGTAGCTGCTTTTTCAACCGCTCAAGTGACAATTTCCTGCCAAGAAACAGACAACGTGAGCTGACTCTTCGACACAGCGTGTTGCGTATGACAAGAAAGGAGCATGGTAGAGGGCAATCACAAAGGGAACGGCCTTGAACATTGCCAAAGACATGGTGCCCATTTGGCAATCTGTTTGAAAGCAGTCAACTTTACACTCACGGTATGAGCTATTGAGCAGTAAATATTGTGCAGAGGTCACCGTGCCTCACCTGGAGCTGACAACTAACTCGACATGGCAACTGTGAGCAAGGGAGGAATGCTGCATGAATGGCACTTCAATTCCCATAAAATTGCCTTTGTGTCTTTCAGTGGAGTTTCCATGTGGTCAACTCGCTCCGAATAATCAGAGCATGATGCAGCAGACGAGGCTTGTGGGATCCAACGATTGTGCCCAAGGAGAGTGTCCCTGGCAGGTAGATGCTCTCATCATGAAGCCTGACTGACAACCTGTCACACTCTATAAGTGTCATCATGAACTGCTTCTAAATTCTCGTTTGGTACTCTGGTCCAAACCAAAACAGAAACTGATGAGACACTGTGCATTCTACTGGTTGACTCACATTGGGACAGTTCGATGGTATCCTGCTTCAGTGCAGTGAGCAGCACTCATTCAGACTCAGCCAAGTTTATCTGTGCCATCACTTCATGAGACTTTGCTGATTATTTCCACTCATTCTGTTTACAATATTTACACTGTGTGGTTATCCTCCAGTGACGTGCACCACATATCCGTGTGACATTAATCACGAGGCCTTTGGTGCGAAGTGGGCGCAAGTACGGTGCCAAGTGTTTTGCGATCTTTTCATCCGTTCGCCAGTCAATCACAGGAAACCAAGAAATTGTACCAGATTGTGAAGAATAGCTTATACACTGTAACGATAGTGACATTTATTCTTTTTCCTGTTAGGTTCTGATTCAGATGAACGGAGTCAGTCATTGTGGGGGCGCTCTTATTGGGCATGACCGAGTTTTGACCGCAGCTCACTGTGTCCACGGAATCAACCCTGGCAAACTTACTACAGTGGCAGGTAGGCAAGTGAACAGTTATTGGTGGACGCTGGTGCTGGGAGCTGACCAGTATGTGCCATCCAGGGACTATTATTTTTGATGTGCGCTCATTCTCCATTGACCAACTGTCCAGCTAGGTCTCTCCATCTCAACCCCTACAGAGCCTGGGTTTGGGGGGAGGTCCCCGCCCCCCCCTCCACCTTACAGAGAGTTTTCTTTGCAAAGTGCCTTCTCATGTGGGCTTCCGTTGGCTTTATTTCATGTATGAGGAGTGGGGTCCTTGTACCAGTACTGGTCATTTTGGGCTGTATAAATGAAAGTGAGTTGACCTGACTTTGATTATGTTGCCAGGGGAATACAACCTGGATGCTGACGATGGCATGGAACAAAGAATCCCCATTTCAACGGTGATAGTTCATGAGGATTACGAACCAGTGACGGGCCACAGCGACATTGCACTTCTGCATCTGAGTAGAGGCGTGACCCTCAATAGTCACGTACTACCCATCTGCTTGCCCACCAAAGACTTGGCAGAGCGTGAGCTGCTGCTCCTGCGCTACCACACAGTGTCTGGCTGGGGCAAGAGGATCAGTGGAGGAAACGATGACGGCACCGTGTCTGCAGGGGTTCCAATTTCCCCGATCCTCCGCAAAATGTCCGTGCCCATCATCCGGAATTCCCTCTGCTCCGAGAGAGGCCGGTATAACTTCACCGACAACATGCTGTGTGCCGGCTACCTGGAAGGTCAACAAGAGAGCTGCCGCGGAGACGACGGGAGTCCATTGACCACACTCTACGGTTCCACCCACTTCCTTTCAGGAGTGGTGGCTTGGGGGCGAGGCTGCTCAGTCCGAGGCTACTTTGGCGTTTACACCAATGTGGCCAAATTTGTTGACTGGGTGGAGTCCAAGAACCTGCCCTTAACCACGATATCACCTGGCATGCCGCAACAGAAAGTAGCTGAACACTGAAAAACAAAAATATTCGAAGATTCGCCCATGAATGTTGTCAGTCATGCAAACTTTCATGTCTGAAATAAAAACTAACATCCATTTATTTTCTCTGGTCCTTGACCTCATTATTTGTTGAATTTCTTGTGGCCTTGTTTTCCGAAAAAAAATTTAAAAACCCCGAAACGTACGCAATAATGGTACTTGGCTCACAAAATGCAACAATATACATAACTGGGACAATTAGGAATCAGCAAAAGGAATTTCATCATTCTCTGGTATGACAAAATAACACGCCCGACCTTCATGATTGCCAGATGTTCGGCCACTGTGTATAATGTCATTACCCAATCCTTTTTCATCAGGGATACATCTGACTTCCCGGTTGTAGAAGAACAAATATCTATGGCCAGTTGACCTCTGCTTTGTTTGCATACCTGATGTCAAAAAAGGGGGAACATGTTTGTTTTGCTGAGTCCAGGGGTCATTAGGGTCACCTGGGATGCAACTTAAAGGCTCTGCCTCTCCTATAAGCAGACCTGCAACTTGATTTGGGGAGTTGAGCACTGGACACCATGTTGATGAGAAGCTGCATTTTATTGATCGTGTTTGGCATCGCTACAGCTGCAGGTACTGGGATTTCATAGAAAGAACAGTTGTCATCCTTGCATGGTGATAAAGCCATCATTTTCAACTGAGCTCAGCTCGCATTTTAATAATGCTTGGCACTGAGCGTTTAAAAGCATGCGCAACAAGCCCAGACATACTTAACTCAGTTAATGATTCATCATTTGACAATACATCTATGCGTTTGGGATCAGTTTTTGTGGAGAAGCAGGAGGCGGAAGCGGTGCTGAGCCGGTGGCGGCGAGCAAACGCGGGATTCTGGGAGGAAATCAAGCAGGGCAATCTGGAAAGGGAATGCCGCGAGGAGATCTGCAACTACGAGGAGGCCAGAGAAGTGTTTGAGGATGACACCCTGACGGTCAGCCGGTTGCCTTTAGAGCTTCAATCAGCATCTTACATCAGTGTTTCCCAGCCTTTAGTGAGACTAGGCACATACAGTGCAGACTAGAATTCCCTAATATACCAGTTTTCTGAGTCCTTAAAAAGGTTTTTATTTGTTTTGCTTTGTGTCGCGAGTCTTTTTTTGTGTGTGTGTGGTGAGGCAAAATCTAAACAAGCCAGAATATTTTTTTTAATCTGCGAGCCAGATGCAATCATCAAAAGAGTGAGCCATGGGTTCCCGCCCCCCGAGTTAGAGGTATACTAAGCCAAAACATATTTTATATGTGAAAAATCTCATGGCAGACCATTAAACTAAAAAGTCCAAAAGGGTGAACCCATGTCACATAAATGTGGTTGGGAATCACGAGGTTACACTAGTATGGTTTGTAATAAGATACAACCGTTGCCAATCATGTTTTTGTTGTTTTTTTGCTTCCACAGAGACAATTCTGGGATACGTATGAACGTAAGTCCATGTTAAATTCCACTGACCAATTTCTCTTGCTTTTCTTCTGTCTGACTTTTGCTGCTGTTCGGAATCATTGTGCTGTCAGGACGGGAACCCTGCCGCATCAACCCGTGTCTTAACCACGGTGTGTGTGTCACCGTCGGGAGCGGCTTCCAGTGTCAATGCGCCGAAGGCTTTGAAGGACGCTTATGTCAGATGGGTACTGCAGGAAATAACAAACAAATGAGTATGTAATGGATGTGTGGTGACATCATTGCTCATGGTGCCGCCCCTTTCTCATCTTTTAGGGTTGGAAGACTCGCTCAAGTGTAACATGCAAAACGGCCAGTGTGAGCACTTTTGCGATGGCTCGGGGAAATACCGCAAATGTTCCTGCGTTGATGGCTACATCCTGGGCGAAGATGGGCGACAGTGCATCGCTCAGGGTGGGTGTCTTTATCCACATGTTGGAAACCTTTGACCCGAGTTATATCCAAACAAGACGCAAATATTTTTGCAGACGTCACCGTACCTCACCTGTACAACTCTATAGGAGGAAAAAAAAAAAACAGTGAGGAAATGAAAAATGCTGCATGCATGCAACTTGAGGCATGTCAGATTGATGTGATACATCACGATTATATCAGTGTTTCATTGGACTAAAACTGAGGTAGGGAGGTTTCATTAGTTTATTATGTTTGTTGTATTGGCACCACAGTCCCCTTACGTCTGTATCATACGACACCTTGACGCCAAGCTATGGCTCATCGACCTAAAGTTTGAGAACTGCTGTTATTTTAGTTCCACATATGACAGCATTGACGCTAGTTTGTGAATACCGGGATTTATACCACGCACTGCTGCAAACGTTTTGCACACAAAAATGGTCAAAACAACGTCCAATCACACTCACATGAAAAAAAAAAAAACAAGTGAGGAAGCTGTACCACGAGGTCGGGCCAAAAGGCCAGTAGTTGGCGATGTTACTTAAAACTACCAGAAAAAGGCCTTTCTGTCTTTCAGTGAAGTTTCCATGTGGCCAAGTGGCACCAGTCAACCAGAGCATGATGGGCCAGCTGATTACTGGAGTGAATCGTCCTCACAATGGAGAAAGTCCCTGGCAGGTAAATGCTTTGATTACAAAGGATGACTGAAAACTTGTGTCATGACAAACTGCTGGTAAATTCTTATTTGGTAAACCGTTAGTACTCACACGGACAGTTCTATGAAATGGAAATTGAGCCAAGGCTTCCTAGAGGCAAGTCAGATCAAGTAAACCATTACCGGTACATACACGGTCAATATCTCAGACCACAATTCACCCTGTTCAAAGACGTATTGATGAAGTTACCTCCAGAATTGACAGCGCTTGGGATGTTTGTGACCAAGCTCATCCATGCATGCATCCTTTTTTTGTTGTGCTTATTTTCATGCCATACGGACAAAGATTTATCCCTCCATATCCAAACCACACAAGCACAAAGAGGACACGGAAAATCCGCACAGAAAGGCCAGAGCGGGCTTTTCGAACCCCAAACCTTTGAACGTTGACGCAGATGAGCTGACCACTAGGCCGCCATGCTGACCCAACTTCCCGCTAACCAGAAACAAATTACATTTAAAAAAGCTGTTGGGTTAAGCGCAGATTTGAGTATACTGCACTCGTATATATCTTCAGCAAAGATTTAACTTTTAATTTTTACCAGAGAGCGAAGACAGCTTTACGCTATGAATCAATTGTGATCAACCCCCCTGTCCCTCGTCCCCCGCCGCCCCGCACCTATTAGGTTCTGATTCAGTTGAATGGAGTCAGTCACTGTGGAGGCGCTTTGATCCGTCCGGACCGGGTCCTTACCGCAGCTCACTGTGTCCACGGAATCAAGCCTGACAAACTTGCTGTGGTGGCAGGTAGGCAAAGACATGCTTTCATCCTCAGTCAGCAATCGGTTGGATCAACTTTTTAAGTTTGATTGAGCTTGTCTTCCTCGTGCCTTCTCTCTTCATCTCAACTTGATTTTAAAAACGACAACAGGGCTATTGCCATTGATACAGCTCCTGTTAAGCCTGCTTTTGTCTCATGACAACCCAGGCAATGTGTTACTCACTTGCTTCTCTTTGTCTTTCTTTCTCCTACCTGTGGTGGCTGCTCCCTGCACCTTCGCATTTGTCGTCTACTAATTGCTGCTGGTGATGCCGTGGTGTCGGGAGCGGCCCATTGTGTGTCCCCATGTGTTACTGACCCAGCCGTTGTGTCCATCGTTTTCTCATTGCCTAACACCGCTCTCCTATTTTCTGTCTTGATCTACGCTCTGTCCTTCTGCTGTGTTTCTCCATCTCAAAGCAACCAATCGCCCTTTGAGCCTGAATTAAGTTGCAGGCTCCTTTGTTCTGTTCTGCGCTGAAAAAAGACAAACCTTGCCTCCATCGCCAAGTACTTGCTAATGCAAGGTTCGGTCGTTTTTCTTTAATGTATGAGGAGTGTTGTTTTTGACCAGCTCAAAACGTATGTATTAGTGCCTCTTCAGTATGAGTGCCTTGAAATGATGTCGTGTGAATTGAGGCAATCTTGTGTTTCCAGGGGAACACAACTTGGACGCTGACGATGGCACGGAACAAAGAATCCTCGTTTCCATCGTGATTACTCATCAGGATTATGAGCCAGCGACTGGCGACAACGACATTGCACTTCTGCAGTTGAGTGGAAGCGTGTCCCTGAGTAGATGCGCCATACCCATCTGCCTACCTACCAAAGACTTGGCAGAGCGTGAGCTGCTGCTGCAGCCCACCCACATTGTTTCCGGCTGGGGTCGGAGGACAAGCGGAGGAAACGAAGACACCTACAGTAGCACAACAGCTTCCGGGGAGGTCCTCGCCTTCCCCGTCCTCCGCAGCAAGTCTGTGCCCATCATCGAGCACTTCGTTTGCTCCCAGATAGTCGGGTTCAACATTACTGAGCGCATTCTGTGTGCCGGCTACCCGGCGGGTCTGCGGGAGAGCTGCCGCGGAGACGACGGGAGCCCATTGACCACTCTCTACGGTTCCACCCACTTCCTTACAGGAGTGGTGGCTTGGGGGCGAGGCTGCTCAGTCCGAGGCTACTTTGGCGTTTACACCAATGTGGCCAAATTTGTTGACTGGGTGGAGTCCAAGAACCTGCCCTTAACCACAATGTCACCTGACATGCTGTAGAAGAAAGTTCAACACTCACCAACACAAAGATTTCCCCTTTGAAAAGTTAAAAGTTCAAGATCAGAAATTGGAAAAAATAAAAAGTAAAATAAAAATCTCCGTTGATTCATTTTCTATTGTGCCTCTCCTCATCCAGTTCAGGTCATGGGTGAGCTCGAGCCAGTCCCAGCTGACTTTAAGCGAGAGGCGTGGCGCACCCAAGACTGATTACCAGTCAATCACAAGGAACACAGTGACAAACATTCACACCATTGGGCAATTTGGAGTCTTCAATCAATCTGTTTTTGGGAAACATCACTTGGTGAGGGAGACACTCTCACCACTAGGCCCATCGTTGCTGCCTCATGAAACCATCAAAGATCACTTTTGAAGCTTGACAAAAAAAACTCATAAAAGCTCATTTGAACACTCATTCAAAATAAACAGCATCACAAGAGAACAGGATATGGTAGTTGCGTGCCAGCAAAAACAGGATTGAACCTGGTTGACATACCCTCATCATTTCCAAAAATCTGCTAAAACCACTTCAAGTCACATTCGAACTGAAAAATAAGTATCAACAGACGTTAACCACTGCATAATATTAATCTGTTCGAAACAATACAACACTGACTTTTGCTGACAAGTGACAATGATGTGGCAACTATTAACTGTTCTAAATGTTCTGGTCAAACAGAACAAACATAAAGGACTCAAAACCACAGCAGAAGATCCTAGTCAGAAGCATTTGGTTTTCAAAAAACTCAGAGGCGGGGAACAAAGAACAACACGAAGTACTGTATATCCATCCCCCCCGCCCCCCCCAAAAAAAATATTGTAACATCACAACATCGCTGAACAGCCGAATGAGTGTAATTCCAGGTTGAACAGTGAATGGCTCCGTATGGAAATATGGGAGTAATGCTGGAGCCTACTTCATAAGTGCCTGGTGCACATTTTCTTTTTACATTGTTTTTCATCAAACACCAGTTGAGGTTGGTCCTTGTTTCAGAAGATTGGCCGTGTTCCACTGCAATTCGAACAACAGCCAGACAATATGGCACTACACCTCGAGTGTAGTTGGTTAAGTGTGACTACTTGATTCGGAACATCCTGATCATTCAGGTTTTTTAAGATATTCTTTTATGAACGCTACACACATTAAAATGAGGAAAAAAAACAAATATTCACCACCTCTCAGGACAGGTACCAAATCTCTCCTAGGACTGTTATGATCCAAACATCTGCTCTCTGAATTTGGGAACAAGTCAATTTAATTTCTCTGCCATGAATAATCTGATTTCAATTGATACCGTTTGCTTTATTTGTTTCCTTTTCATCCGTTTTCAACATTCATAATCTCTTCCTGTGTCTCGTCTTGTGCTTTCTACATGGTATGATTTATGCAACGTTGTTGCGTAAATGACTAAAAAAGAAAAACCGTGTATAAATTTTTTTGCAGTCTGAACATTCACAACATTCCTTTTCCAGGGTAAGTCTCATATTCCAACACATGTACAGTATGTGAAACATTTTGACAAAGCAGTCCCCTCCCATCCAGATGGGTCCACTGGAACACGTTGACACCCCTTCCTCCCCCACAGAGGTCATCGGCCTCCCTTCCTGCCCCCGTTGTGTATTCAGACTTCAGATCATCCCTACGCCACAAAGAGCTTCTTCTCCTCAACTCACCACCGGACGCCATGTTTTGTTTTGGTGAACTATCGCTCGGTGTGCTGTTTTTGCATCTGGCCACCGCTCACGGTACGTTCAATGACAGGGGGCGAATGATGCTGGGGAACAGTGGGAAGTGTGCGCTTAGTGTGTTTAGTACGTGTGTGTTTGTTCAGTATGCCTCGATGTGTAGTATGTGACGTGTGATGTCAACCCGCCACACCTGATGGGGGTTCTATCACTTGATTGGACAAATTGATTCTCAAAACTGTTTTCGGGGGTGCAGATAGATTGGTGTATCGTTCTTTCAATTGAATTGGCAGTCAAAAGGCGGAAACCCCAAAAAATGACTGGTTATTTGATCTAAAAGACATCAAAATAGATTATACCTGTATTTTAATTTTAGGGTCAGATTTTGTTTGGGTTTCGGCACAACTGTAAACAAATCGTTAGCCCATAGCTGTCTCACAGTAGTAAATTTGGGGGCCTGAATCCTGAATCCAGCCTTCCAGTGTGGAGTTAGCATGTTCTCCATGCTCAAGTGGGCTTTCTTCGGGTACTCTGGCTTACCACACATAGCGGGAGATTACTGTACAGCAAAAGCATCCTTTCCGTGTCAAATGTAATTCTTGAAGCTGCTTTCAACAACTAACTTTAAGATGGCTGATGGATCACTATGGATGTCGATCGTGGCCTTTACTGAATGTGGCGTCTAACAAGTTAACGTGGCTTTACTAATGTTCCTGACCAAACCATACGTGACCATAATTCAATTTTGTATTTTTGATCTGATGCTAATATTGAATAATGACAAATCAGTCCTTTATCCACAAATTATTTGTTTTTTAATTGCTCATTAAAAATGGAAAGAACAAATGATTACACGGGCTGACGTGCAACTCTGTTTGATGATCTTCACTTATGATGCTTGTAGTGCATGCCTCTTAAGACGTAATTCTCTCGTCATCCTCAGTGTTCCTGGGCACCGAAGAGGCAACTCAAGTGTTGATACGGCCCAGACGAGCCAACAGATACTTTGAAGAGCTCAAGCAAGGCGACATGGAGCGCGAGTGTCGGGAGGAACGCTGCAGTTGGGAGGAGGCGCGGGAGATTTTTGAAGATGCAGCTAAAACTGTATACGCAATACCTAACACACACACACACACACACACACACACACACACACACACACACACACACACACACACACACACACACACACACACAAAAACAGAAAAATGAGCAATATAGCAAGACCACAAGAGGTGAACCTAGCGATGGGGATCACTATACCCATTAAGTTCATTAAAGTTAGGTTTTTACTCGTTAGATAACATATAACGTTACATGTACAGTTAACTATCCTGAACATGCCTAGCTAGAAGTTAGTTAGCTAGCTATTTACGAACTCTTGTTGATGTCCAGTTTAAAAGATCTCAGCCCAAGTTAGCTTAATAAACTTTATGGAGATTGCTTTTTTGCTGGCCTGAGGTATTCGAGTTAAATATATGCTATTTAAAATACTTAACACCCAGGAATAATGTTTTCTCATGCAGTTTGGATGTAAAGTTCTAGCTTGAATTCTTTACTGCTAGTTTTTGCACATACACTTGAGTGAAACTAGACTTTTGCTGCTCGACCATATTCAACTTTTAAAAACAATGGATAAACACACCATTACTATTTGACCATATTTTTCTCACATCTATACACTTGACTTGAGGAATCAAATATTGCTGGCAGAAAAATGACTGACAATAGCTTTGCGTGAAGACGACGACGAATGAGAGGAAGCTGGGACAGAGGGTGTTTGGACCATAAGGGCATTATTAAATTAACACTACAGCAGCTAAAAGAAGTCAGTATTTTAGAGTCCATGGGACTGAACCCTGCCGCAAAGAGAGGAAATCCGCAAATAATTGACGCACACTTAAAATGGGATTTTAATTGCGTGTTGATGTCACAAGATGGTGGCAAATCAGAACTAAGAACAAAGAGGATCTGTTGGGGGGAAAGTGGCCTTCTTTCCTCCGTGTGTTCGTTGAATTTCGGATGGTGAGGATGTTGGTTCTCCAAATACAGGCTGGAGTCGATGAACAGTTTCTTCTAAGCTTTTAATAACAGAATATTCCGGGCACCCGCAGTTTACAGACAATGGCTGAATCACGAGTGCAAAGAAGAGAGGGATTCAGATCATATTTATATTATCAGAAGGGCGGTACCGACACTTATGGTGTGGCATCAGGACTTTCGTTTCTCCTAAACTGATTCTTAGCTTGTATCAACTGGTCCATTCCTATGTCTAACTGATGAGGGAGTGTGCTTCAAGGACACATCAGGCTACAAAACAGAGTTTCACTGTGGACATGAGAAAGTTATAATTGCATGACTAAATATGAGCAGAATGCACACTTCAAATCATAAAGCATCAAAATCATGGAGATAGCATGTACACAATAATAAACCCATGTATCACAAATGACTGTATTCAGTAGTTAAAATATTCACCAGAAACACACCGCCTTATCCTTACTGGGGCGTATCAACAGTATTAGCTAGCATAATAGCCTGAATAACATGCTAGCACTAACTAATATGACACCACACATGGGCAAACAAAAAATGTGCACAAAGACTTTACACAAACAGTAAGTCATTACACTCACTTTTTGTGATTTACGCACAATAATAAATGTTATGGAATACTGTACAGGTAAACGACTGAGACTGCTGTTGTCTTCTTCTCTGATCAAAACAGTGTGTCCCCTAGCGGATACTCCACAAATTGCACCTTATTAAAAATACCCATTCCGTGTGTTTTATGCATTTTTTTCACTTTTAAATTATCCTGCGGGCCTGATCAAACCTCCTTGGGGGCCGGTTCCGGCACGCGGGCCGTGTATTTGACACCCCTGCTATAGACTAAGCACAATAAACAGCAAATCGAGTTCAAAAGTTTGTAACTGGTTAATATGCAAATTTGTAACTTCTATTTTGCGACTGCTTAAAAAGCGAAGCGTCCATTTTAAACTGTGACATCAGAGTGTGAGTGGGTGTATTAGAGAACCATATTTGAACCTCAAAACTGTATTTTTTCTTAATCACCGAAAAAAATGTGTTTTGTTCAGTCATGACAACAATAAAAATGACACAGGCAGGGAAAAAATACATTGTTAAATGTCCTACTTTCTACCCTAACAAAAGTTGCCCTAAAATACAGTTGATCCTATTAAGATTGTGACGCTCATCCACGAGAAGTAGCGTTCCTGATTCATCCAATTTTATTTACTGTAGTCAGTTCACAAAACGGTGTCACAATAATCAAACATTATGAACACTGTATTTGATAAATGCATTTAAAATGGCTTGTTTGTTCTCAAATAGGGAATGTACAGTTAAAGTCTTTTGGGGTCATCATTTTGGGTATATTTCTGATTTTACAGAGGCAATTATAAACATTTTTGTTTGAAGATCCTGTTAAGTGTATATAACCTGATTAATTTCCGCATATAGATATAGTTATGGTAAACGAATAAGACTGCTATTGCTGGCCAGGCAGCGTTTGCCCTTTTGTCCGCCACTGTGAATGTGACTTGACTGGTGGACAAAAGTATCTTCACTTGATTCTTGAACCAATTTCATGCTTTTTGTTTTTATCTTGCTCATTTTCAGGACAAATTCTGGGCCACATACTTTGGTAAGAAATGAGATGCTTTGCAGAAAATGTGGTGGGTGTTTGTTTTGTTCTTTTATCCAAATGTTATGTGCTTGACCCAGATGGGGACGCTTGTCTTTCAACGCCCTGCGCTCACAGGGGACGTTGTGAAGACGGGATCGGCAGTTACACCTGCTACTGTTACGAAGGCTACCAGGGTTTCAATTGTGAAATTGGTGCGGAACGACTCTGCCTGCGGATGTGATCATCATCCATCTGAAAAGGTTTTCAACCTGTTCATGTTCGGTTTTCTTCCAGCTATTCCTCAACTCTGCGAGAACCAAAACGGAGGTTGCCAGCACTTCTGCAAGGTGGTGCAAGGAAACATTGAATGCTCATGTGCTGACGGATATTTCCTGGCTTCTGATGACAAATCCTGTGAATCTAATGGTGAGCAGGATTCCACATGGACCACATTCTGATACCCTGAGCCTCCGCCTCACATCACAAAACTCTTTCAGAGCCCTTCAAATGTGGCGTCACAATCACTGGCAAAACCAGGACCATTTTCAGGTACCAGCGTCCAAACATCACAGAGGGAAATGTCACCGAGTTCAACCAGACCCACGTTGAAAGCAATGACACCGCCGCTGCCAGCCTGCCGGAGAGCTCACCTCTTGGCAACCTCACCAGCGAAGAAATGGTGCAGGAATCGGTGGAGGAGGAAGAAATCTTCTCTGATGTAGTGGGAATGACCCGTATCGTCAATGGGGAGAACTGTCCATCCGAAGAATGCCCGTGGCAGGTGCAGAGAGTCGATCAACTCAGACACCGAGGGCCTGATTTACTATGATAGAATACAAACAGATGTGGAAGTTAATCTCTGAACCAGGCTGACCTGACCCAGGATTGCATCTACCAAACAGGAAACATTGACGAACGGTTGATTTTGGAGGACCAAACACAATAATATGGCACGTGCACTGCAAATTATCAGACCTGAGATTTTGTGTCTCAAAATAGCGCGTCGAGTGGGTCAGGGGTGATGCCATAAACCTTATGACAAAAATCCTTTCACCTCTTCCAATTCCCACGCATGCAGGATGCGTTAAACCAAACATGGCTTTTGTGTGGTGGCTCACTTCACCAAAACTACATACGTCAGTCATGTGTGTTTGCCTCTTCCACTCACACCTCCAATTACCATCACTTTCAACATCTTTTTGTGCTTGCCGTGCTCTCCCAAATCTTCCGTGGAAAAAAAAAAAAAATATCCGAGCTACCTAATGCGCTAAACACTCTTTCAAATACGGTGGACTCCACCACTTTCACACCGGTTGCCAAATGGGCGCACAATCAGTTAGAGCGGCCATTCCCCAAGCCGTGTGCCGTGGCGCATTGGTGTACTGAGATTACGATTCAATTCAACATGGTACGGCTCAGTTGGAGAGAGGGATAATGCACTGACTTTTTTGTCGTCAATTTACATCCGACCTATCAATTCTCTATATGTGCTATTTCCTTCGAAGATACAGCTTTCCCATCAAAGATGATTCAATCTGCATCCGGGTAGATTTTACAGTGGAAGGATTCGGTTCCATTCGATGCACTTGCGTCGTTTATTTTTATTTATTTATTTTTGTTCCACTCCTATTATTTTAAAAATACAGATGTGTATTTCTCTATGCCAACCGTGCAGCGTAACAGGCAGCACAATCAACTGCTCTTCCACTACAAGACAGAAGGTACATAATTCACCTGCATATCCGTTTCCACTTTTTGCAGAGTGGTGTGCCGTGATACGTTTTTCCATGTGAAATGTTTGCCTAAAGGTTGGGAAACACCGAGTTAGAGTAAGAACAACGTTTTGGAATCTTCGTAAATACAGGCCCCAAGTGTTTCCACTCGATAGGTATATGGAAAGTAGATCAATAGCGCATCTTATTCCCGCCTCTTTTGTCAACGCAGGCACTTCTCCTCGATGAAAATGACAAAGGGTTTTGTGGCGGCACCATCCTCAACGAATACATCATCTTAACGGCGGCGCACTGCATGAACAGCACGTCTTATATCTCTGTGAGGCTGGGTGGGTGCGACTGACCAGTCAGAGTCTGTCCTTGTGATGCTTTTGTGGTGAAATGACACCGTTTCTGTCCATCCAGGTGAGTTTGACTTATTGGTCGAAGATGGGAATGAAGCCACTTACTACCTGGAGACTGCCCTAACCCACAAGCAGTACAGCTCGGCCACTCTTGAAAATGACATTGCGCTCCTCAAACTGGCCTCGCCCATCAAGTTCTCCAGGCACATCCTGCCAGCCTGCCTGCCCGAGCCGGATTTTGCTGAGAAGGTAAGCGTGTTCCTGCCTTTGGATGACGGACAGCATACACAACTCCCAAGTACGGGACATTGGGCTTTTGGGTTGAATTGTAAAATAAACCTAAAAGGAACTTTTCCGGTGACCTTCTGTAAACTTTTGAAAGCACATGTCCAATTGTTCAGTCTTTCACTTACTTTTTGCACAACTCGCTGTTCTCTAACAAGTAGCTCAGCGGTAAAATTCACTGCAGGTGTTTGAAATGTCCAAGAAAAGGTCGGTCCACTTCTACGCCTTTCTGTGACTCATTTCGTTTCTGTCGCGCAATTCTTGACCTGCTGATGGCATTCTGCCATTCTAAGCTCAGTGGCCACTTAAGTGTTTGCAGCCTCACAATGGCGAGGTGCTGCCAACACGTCGATTCTTCGGTGTCGTCTTGATTTGATGAAGAGGACTGTTTAAATACCAATTGCCGCCGAACAACATTTTCACCCCAAAGCCTTTTATTTTGTGAGTCGTGCACTACATCGAAACGCAACTTTTTTTTAATGATATGTGGGCTTCAACTTGTCGTTGCAGGTTCTCATGGAGCAGCGAGACGGCATGGTGAGCGGTTTTGGACGTCTTGGCCAAAATCTGCCAGCATCCAACATCCTGCAGCGTCTCTCTGTACCTTATGTGCCCCAACAGACTTGTAAAGAATCGAGCAGTTTCCTTATTTCGCCACACATGTTCTGCGCAGGCTATGACAAAAAGGCAATGGATTCATGCCGAGGGGACAGTGGCGGCCCGCACGTCACGGCATACAAAAACACCCATTTTATCACGGGGATTGTGAGCTGGGGCGAAGGTTGCGCAAAGGAAGGCAAATACGGCGTCTACACTCAAGTCAGCAGATACATCAAATGGATCCGTACCGCCATGAAGGTGATGTTGCGCAAAGAGAAGAGCGGGGGCAGGGTCAGGAGGCAAGGCCAACCATTCAGAAGGATGTATTTATGAGACGGCCACACAAATTCCCGACAGAACGTGGAGACAAGTTGCAAACTCATGCCATTTGTCTGGAAGACAAAAGCTTTTCAATGTGTGTATTTTTCAAAGCCGCGAAATAAACACTACAACAGAGCGCGTGCATGAATAGCATGTTTCCTTTAAGCAAGATGAACTCAGGACACCCACATGATGAAGAATAATCAAGCGCTTATTTGGTTGTCATCAGGAGCTGCCCCCCTGCGCAAATAAAACGAATAAACAAACACGCTTGTTTGGGGAGGTCGGAGTCCAAGAACACGGCGTTTCCCGCAAGCTGCACTTGATGTTAACACGTGCTGAGGACAGACAAACATTCAGGAGGCGACCCTGGGACTCACGGATGTCATGGACGACCACGTGTTGGTCGGAGCTGGGCGAGAGAGCTTTGCCACCGGGATGTGACGACACTGGTTGACCACTCGGTGTCATGGCGCTCGCTGGAGTGGGTCTCCTCTTGTTCATCTCGCTTGCAAGCGGCCTTCAGGTCCTTGGCAAAGCAGACGGTAAGAATTCAAACTTTTTGCTCAATATCTTGTGAGACGGTCTGCTACTTTTTGGAGCATCTTTGTGCTTGTAGGTCATCCAAATGAAAACATGACACAAACGCTACATTTATTTACTTTTTTTAGTCCTTCCAGTTAAAGTGGAAGCCTGACCTCCAAAAATAGTTGGTGCTGTTCATGTTTCTTCTGTACAAAGTGGGAAAACAATAATTTGCCAGGTTTTAGGCCAGTCCTGAAGGGCACGGCGAGTCTCACTGGATTTTCTCCTGTTTTAAAGTGGATGCAAGCACAATTTAGGTTACAAACGATGTCCAATAAACTACAGTTCAGTAGTTTTCTGAGGGGGCGTAAGAATACCGGGACATGGTCACGCAGCACAAGAACACCATACATCATTTTTTTTTCATGAATAATTTTATATTTAGAAAAGCATAGAACTGCTTGTCATAAAAGTTTAAATGTAATTCTGGCTTTGCCAATGCATTAGCGCACATTAGTGATAGAATACAGCCAGGGGCGTAGCTAGAGCTTTTTCAGTGGGGTGACCAGGGTGATAGAAAGCCTCCGTGAGGTGGTGGGGACTGGGGGGGTATGTGCATGTGCGCACATCATTCACCTTCTTGTAACCGTCTCTGCAACAGAGAAGTCATGGTTTATCAAAGCGTCCACAGTCAGGGTTTCATGAAATGAAATCAATTGCGCAGTCCAACTCACTTATTTTTGTGCATGCAAACACTTTGTTTTTTCTTCTTTCTACCTACCAATTTTGCTGCTGTACACTGTAAATTTCCCCAGTGTGGGACAAATAAAGGATATCTTAAATATCTTAAATCTTATCATGCAAGCAGGAAGGAGTCAAAGTAAAAAGCGTTTTGTTGATCTTAATGTTTTCGGTAATTCTATTTTCTTTGCCGTTGCACATAGTCTACTTCTATCTCATGCACTGATTCGCCAGTCAACAGCCATTCAGAGTGATTGATCATCAACAATGGCTGATGCCATGTTGCAAATTGTGATCAATGTTTTTTTTTATTCTCGGTTTTTTTCTGCTTGTATAACGAGTGCGTTGGGCCAGATTGGTCTATTTTAATTGATGAAACCATGTGACGGTGGATAGTATGATGACTTCTGCGCCATGCTGTCTGCTTGTCATAGTGTAAAAGTAATACGTTTGACTGACATCAAGTGTAGGAATCAAGTGTTCTTGACTGGCAACAGATTCTCTTTGCAGTTTGCATTTAGATCAGTTGTAGTTTGTTCTTGAAATATTCTGTGACCCTAAGTGACTAGTGGCAGAGTATAACGGGAACACGGCTCTCATGTGATAATGGCAGGCAAGTCACAGGCATCAAAATCTTTGCCCAGATATGGAGGTGGCCTTCTGCACTCATACTAGTAACCCTAATACTAACGTGCATCCCAATGTGATACAATTATTGATGATTGCGTGGCGTTGCAGTGTTTGTGCAGGCTCCAGCTGCACAAAGCATTTTCCTGCGTTCCAAACGAGCAAACTACTTCCTGGTGGAGGAGATCCTGCAGGGCAACCTGGAGCGGGAATGTCACGAGGAGCGCTGCACTTTTGAGGAGGCCAGGGAGTATTTTGAAGACCACGACAAGACGGTCAGCCCATTCAGTAGTGCATCACCTGTGCTCGTCTTCTGCTTCAGGTTTCAAAATGTTTCTATCCCGACAGGTCAAGTTCTGGAGCACTTACGAGAGTAAGTTCATTACAATGAAATTTGCTGACTGGGGCTAGTTACAAATTGGGAAATGGCATGTTAAAAAAAAAAATCTACTACTACTACATCTACTTACAGGTGGCCAAAACCAAAACTTCTCTGATGGAATGAGTCATAAGCAAACCCTTCCATGTCATTTGGTCAAGGCCACTGCCTGTCGAAATGACAGAATGATGATGTTTCAAAAAAATCTACTACTACTACATCTACTTACAGGTGGCCAAAACCAAAACTTCTCTGATGGAATGAGTCAAAAGCAAACCCTTCCATGTCATTTGGTCAAGGCAGTGCCACTGAGAAAAGTCAAAATGTCGAAATGACAGAATGATGATGTTTCGACTTCTTCTCTACACTGACATGAGATTTCAAGGAGAAATTATGTTCCAAAAAGTCCCTTAGAAAAAAAACAACAAAACCACCACCACAGTTTGGATATAGAAGCACTGAGGACTAGTGGTTACCATGTCTGCCTCACCGTTCTGAGGTTGTGGGTTGGAATGACAGCTGAGGCCTACCTGTGTGGCGTTTGAATGATCTTCCCGTGCTCAAATGGGTTTTCTCCGCACACTCCAGCTTGCTCTCACATCTGAAAAACATGCACGTAAGCCTCAATGAAAACCTTAAATTGTGAGCTAGACATCCTGCCAATGCAATGCACTTGCCAAATATATCAAAGCAACGATATAAAAATGTGTAAGACAAAAGAAGTGAAGCTTACAGATTCTTGTTGTGAAGTCAATCCAACAGCTGAAAATAAGCTGAAGAAGTCTCAAAGCTGCAGGTTTCCACGTCTTTCTATGGAAATGGTGTAGCAATATTGAGAACAAACATTATTTGTTTCAAAAAAACAGTCCTGAATCTGACAACCTTCCCTTTTTACTTTTTATGATTTTAGTCACATGACTTGACTCCAGTCAGGCTCAAGTCACCAATGATTGGACTTGCTTGGCTAGAATTTGTGGAAGAGCCCACTCACCGTGAAGCACATGACTTGACAGGTCTTACCTGTTGAAATTTGAAAAGCTACATTTTCACGATCGTGTGCCATTTGTTTGTTTTTTTGGAAAAAAAAAATTCTATGAATTGCTTTACCTACCTTGAGTTTTGCCACAGCGCTTTGGGACTTGAGACTTCTTTCTTGCATGTGACTCCTGTGAATTGGCCGTCAAATACAGAAATCCGCCCTGCCTCCCCTTTGCTTCAGTCCATGAATGAATTCATTTATTATAGCCATCCCGTTTTTATTTGTGACAGATCGGGACCATTGCAAGCCCAACCCCTGCCTTCATGGTGGGAACTGCACTTATAAGCCAGGCGGATTCCACTGCTCCTGCTCCTCCCCCAACCATGGAATCATTTGCCAACTGGAAGCCCAGGCAGACATGAACAGCCAGGAAGATGAAGGAGGGATCCAAAAAGCAGAAGTGGTAGCAGGTAAGCCTCAGAGATGGTTCAAATATCCTGTCACGTGGTCTGACACTCTTGCTTCAACGTCTGTTATGTTTTAGGAAGGTTCCCGTGTCCCACCGAAGGCCCCAACGTTTGTCACCAGCTGTGCACGGCGACTTCTCATGCTTTCACGTGCTCCTGCGTGGCAGGATTCAAACTGCACAGTGATGGACGAAGTTGCCTGCCTGAAGGTTCCAAACAACAACCACTCACAAGCAGTACACCTCTGACATCTGACATCAATCGAACATCTGGTCTTTCTTCAGGGGAGCTTCCTTGTGGAAGACTTTTTGGCTCCGCTGAGACAGTATCGATGTGTCAGCACGGAAACTGTCCGTGGCAGGTAACATGAACACTACATCACATGTTTTGGTGACATTAGTACTTTAGACATAACATGAATCTTAATCAGAATATAGATAGAATGTGGACAGAAAATACTAATTTATGGGTTTGAGATCATTCCCATTAAAAATTTGGACGTTGAGGTAAGCAAATGGACCGCACCTTTGTTAGAAGCCTCCACTTCAACCTTTCCATTTTTAGAGAAAGTGCACTCAATTTGCTTCTTCAAATGTCCAACACAAAGTCAAAACCACTGAGCAGCCACAAATGAATGATTTGTGCACCCATTATCTCTCTACATTGACCCTCCGTCCCCACCCAAGAAAAAAAAAAAAAAATATCTTGTCTGAGGCTGCGTGAGCAAGCGTCCTCCGTGAATGTGTCGATTGTCTCCAGGCACTGCTGCTGGCGAGCGGAGGGACGGAGCTATGTGCCGGTGTTTTGTTGGGTCCGCGCGCCGTCCTAACTGCTGCCAGTTGCCTCCTGCGGGAATCTCACCCGCAAGCTTCCAATTTTTTTGTCGTCGCTGGTAATTCCATCAAAATTTCTCTGATGACATGACTCCAGTATATAATGACCAAATAAAGGCTGCTGATTTTCTCTTAGGTAACCTGGACACAACAATGTCCGTTAAGGCTTTCCACATCCACAAACGTTTCATTCAAAACCACCATGACAACGACCTGGCCCTCCTGGAGCTGACCTCCCCATTGCCCCTTGGCCCCACCGTCCGCCACCTTTGCCTGCCCACCAAGGATTTCAGTGAAAACATCCTAATGAATTCTGGGAAGTTTGGTGTCGCAGCAAGCATGAACCAACATCTGGACCAGAACCTCATCTACATGAGTTTGGACGACTGTCGCGGCCAGCTCAACGTCTCACTCCCACTCAGCAATAAAATGTTCTGCGTGACGGGACGGACTGGAAAAATAGTGATGCACGGTCAGAAATCAACGCAGAAGGGTAGTGGCGATGGATTAAGTTCAACAGATTGGCAATGTGGCGGTCTGTTGTCCGCAATGCCTCTCGCCACCGTGGAAAAAGGGACGGCGTTTCT